ATGGAATTGTTTATGGAAAACAAAAAGCAGTAAAATAGATCTGTTCCAGCAATAATAGACCCCCTCCAGCAACAACAGACCCCCACAACAAAATACCCCCCAGAAACAATAGACCCTCCCTAGTTTCAAGCAACCAGCAACAATAAACCCCCTGCCTTGACAGTAGATACCTCCCAACAACAATTGACTTCCCAGCAACATAAGACCCCCTCCCAGCAATTATATAACAATAGACCCCCCACCAGCAACACTAGACCTCCCCAGCAACAATAGCACACCCACAACAATAGATGCCCCTAGCGACAATAGATTCCCCAGGAGCCAGGATCAATAGACCCTCCAGCACACCCCGGCACCTTTTGCCGTAGCATATAATCAGTTCTGGAGGTGCTGGAACTGCATTCCCCCACGTTCCTGCTGAAAAAAAATCCCTAGTCACCACGCACAGTTGCTCCAGATTCTGTCTGCTTCAGTTTTAATTACCCCCTTTGGGAGAGACCTCTGCAGGCAGCTGCCTCCTCTAATATGAACAATGACAGCAATGCCATGATTGCTCCTGAGCACTCCAGCTTCTCAGAGAGGATCCTTTTCTGGCCAACTTGTTCATTCCAGAGCTTTCATCAGACAGAAGTGAGAATCCAGGTGGGAACAAACACTATATTGCCAAAAGTATTGGCCCCGCCCTCCACAAAATTTGGATTCAGGTGTTCCAATCCCCTCCATGGACACAGGTGTATACAATCCATCCCCTAGGCATGCAGACTGCTTCTACAAACATTGGTGAAAGAATGTGTCGCTCTCAGGAGCTCAGTGACTCCAAGCGTGGTCCCGTGATAGGTGGCCACCTGTGCAATAAGTCCATCCGTGACATTTCCTGGCTACTAAATATTCCACGCTCAACTGTTAGTGGGATATAACAAAGTGGAAGCAACTGGGAACAACAGCCACTCAGCCACCAAGTGGTAGGCCACGTCACATGACAGGGCGGGGTCAGCGCATGCTGAAGCGCACAGTGCGCAGAAGTCACCAACTGTCTGCAGAGTCAATAGCTAAAGACCTCCAAACTTGGTGTGGCCTTCAGATGAGCCCAACAACAGTGCGTAGAGAGCTTCATGGAATGGGTTTCCATGGCCGAGCAGCTGCATCCAAGCCTTCCATCACCAAGTGCAATGCAAAGCGTCAGATGCCGTGGTGTAAAGCACGCCGCCACTGTACTCTAGAGCAGTGGAGACGTGTTCTCTGGAGTGACCAATCATGCATGCTTCTCTGTCTGGCAATCCGATGGACGTGTCTGAGTTTGGTGGTTGCCAGGAGAACGCTACTTGCCTGACTGCATTGTGCCAAGTGTAAAGTTTGGTGGAGGGGGGATTATGGTGTGGGGTTGTTTTTCAGGGGTTGGGTTTGGCCCCCAAGTTCCAGCGAAGGGAACTCTTAAGGCAACATTTTGGACAATTTCATGCTCCCAACTTTGTGGGAAGAGTTTGGGGATGGCCCCTTCCTGTTCCAACATGACTGCACACCAGTGCACAAAGCAAGGTCCATAAAGACATGGAGGAGCCAGTTTGGGGTGGAGGAACTTGACTGTCCTGCACAGAGTCCTGACCTCAACCCCATAGAACACCTTTGGGATGACCTAGAGCGGAGACTGCGAGCCAGGCCTCCTCCCCCGACATCAGTGCCTGACCTGACAAATGTGCTTCTGGAAGAATGGTCCAACCTTCCCATAGACACCCTCCTAAACCTTGTGTACGGCCTTCCCAGAAGAGTTGAAGCTGTTATAGCTGCAAAGGGCGGGGCCAACTCAATATTGAACCCTACGGACTAAGACTGGGGGGCCATTAAAGTCCATGTGCGTGGAAAGAATGGTGGCCAACTCAATATTGAACCCTACGGACTAAGACTGGGGGGCCATTAAAGTCCATGTGCGTGGAAAGGCTGGTGGCCAACTCAATAGTGAACCCTACGGACTAAGACTGGGGGGCCATTAAAGTCCATGTGCGTGGAAAGGCCGGTGGCCCAATACTTTGGGCAATATAGTGTAGTTGCTATCCATGTTTCTACCATTTATTCTACCACAATGGTCACCCACCAACTTCTCTAGGTATCCTCTTGGCAATTGCTAAATCTATCTATCTATCTATCCATCCATCTATCCATCCATTCGTATCTGACCCTTGGTGATTGCATGGACCATCACTTGTAAGTGACTTTTTCCATGAATTCTCTTAGCAATTATTTTACAGGGTAGGTTGCCAGGTCTTTCCCCGACCCCCACCATGCAGGAGATCCTGCATGGCCAGGGATGAAACTAGGACAATTTAGACAGGAGCCAATTAACCTACCAGCATGTCTTTGGAGTGTGGGAGGAAACCCACGCAAGCACAGGGAGAACATGCAAACTCCATGCAGGAGGCGCCGTGGTTGGGAATCGAACCCATGACCCATTTACTGCACGACAGACATGCTAAACACTAAGCCACTGTGCACCCCAATAACTGAATACACAGATGAAATACATATAGGGGAGCCAGAGTCAGGACAAGGACTTTCAGCACACATGGGTCCCAATGAGTTGCAGGTCCTGCCCTCTATTGCACCCAAAGTAGCTGCCTCTTTTGCCTCCACCTCATATCGGCCCCGATTTGCAAAAACATAATATCTAGGGACGTATTAATAAATACAAAGACGCACTGTGTAGAGTTAAGCTCCAACAAATTGGATTGCCCAATCAATGTACTCACCTGCCACGGATAGTAAGTGCCATTACTGCACTGTCCAGAGGTACAATTCAGCAGTCCATGCAGGCCGTAGGCTATGGCGTACACTGCCGCATAGACGTTAAAAGACGCCGACATTTCAGCCAGGCCAGGAATGGGCAGGTTCTGCCCTGTGAATGACCGACATTCGTCACAAACCTGGTTACAGCCATAGTTACTCATATTTCCAGATTTCAATGAGTTGACATAGGAGATCTCAAAGTCTAAGAGTTCGGGAAAGTTGATTTGCTTTACCGAGACCCCCAAAATGGTGCCAATAGTCTCTATATTTGACAAGGCTGCAATGTCAGGGTTAACCGACCAATCTTCGCTGCCTATCCAGACCTTTCCAGTGACGTTCCCATTAATTGCTTCTTCAAGGAACATCATGGCGATTTGGGTTGTAGCAAAAACCACAATTACTCTGACGTGAGTCTGGACTATATTATCTACTATATTCTTCATTTCTGTTTTATTGGTGGTAATTGGCAGTAGGCCATGGTAAGGGACGCAGATGCCATTTTTGGACGCCAAGGCATTTAAGTCCTGTAACCCTTGTCTGCCGTAGACGTCATCGCTGCCAACTATGGCCACCCACGTCCAACTGAACCTCTTCAACAATTGGAGCAGAACTTGGACTTGCAGATTGTCGCTGGGAATAGTTCGAAAGAATGAGGGGTACATCTGTTTGAGACTCAGGTGTTCATGGGAAGCAGAATAACTTATCTGGAATACAAAAGTCAAGTTCGTTCATTAAAATGTACATCCCGTTAACTCCATTTCTATGGGGACTTTTCAGATACTTTATAGTAAAAGCAGCCAATCAGAACCTGATTATTCACAGATACCTTGGTGGACAATCGGTGAGAACTTCTTGCAATGTCTACCAATGTCCAGTAATGTCCACCAATGTCCACTAATGTCCACCAATGTCCACCAATATCCACTAATGTCCACCAATATCCACCAATATCCACCAATATCTACCAATGTCCACTAAAGTCTACTAATGTCCAGTAATGTCCACCGATGTCTACCGATGTCCACTGATGTCCACCGATGTCCACCAATGTCCACCTGTGTATCGACAAGATGTGTCTCCCATGTAGATATGTCCCCCTGAAGCAACTGCGCATGTTCCGGTTTCAGGCACGATCAATCGATGATAGAACTACTGCTATCATCGATTGACCGTGCCTGAAACCAGGACATGCGCAGTTGTCCCGGAGCCGCTCCAAGAAAAGGTAAGTAGTAAAGAAAGCCGACGATCCCCGTAGGATGGATCGGATCTGCGGATTGAGTATAATGGATCGGAGTCCGATCCATTATGCTCAATCCGCAGATCCGATCCATTCTGCAGGGATCGTTGGAGGGGGTGTCACCAAGTGTTACTGCACCGGGTGACACCAACCCTAGGGACGCCTCTGACTCTAGGGCTGTAGGTGAGAACCCTGACTGAACTCGGTGTGGAGCTATTCCCCCTGAGGTCATCACAGAGGACAAGGGGGCGCTCTTTACGTCTGGAGGAAAATATATGTCATCTGCAAACATGGAAAGGTTTCTTCACAGTAAGAGCTGTGAGAATGTGGAGTAGACTCCCTCCAGAGTTGGTTGTGGTCAGCTCAGTGGATTGCTGTAGGAAAGTCCTGGATTCTTTCTTGGATACACAGAATATAACTGGATATAACATTTATAGGGAAAGTTGATCCAGGGAATATCCGATTGCCTCTCGGGGGATCAGGAAGGAATTTTTTCCCCTGTTGTATACAGAGCTCAGTAGCTCAAGCTAAAGTTTACATACAACTAAATGAATCAGCACAATGACTGCTTCCTCTCCATTGCAGTCTGCTCTGCTCACACAGCTTCCTCTGAAATCAGAGAGACAGTCTTAAAGGAAACAGCTTCTACTTCTCTTGCTTTGGAAACCCCGTAGTGTCCTAGGAAGCTTGTGTATATTTTTAAAAATGTATTGACTTAAAGTGACACTAAAACTGTTTTTGTTTTTATTTTCAGCGATTTCTTTTCACTTCCTGTTCGGCTTTGGGACAGGAAATGAAGGGAAATCTCCACAATGGGACACTGATGGAAAAAAAAAAAATAAGTTATAGGCCAAGTTGATCCAGGGAATATCCGATTGCCTCTCGGGAGATCAGGAAGGATTTTTTCCCTGCAGGAGCAAATTGGATCGTGCTTTGCTGTGTTTTTTTGCCTTCCTCTGGATCAACTGTGGGTGTAGGATTATAATTTTTTTTTTTTTTAATGGTTGAAATGGATGGACTTTTGTCTTTTTTCAGCCAGACTAACTATATAATCCCATGCCTAAGTGTGGAATAGTACAAAAGAGTAGCAGAGATCTTATTGAATCCTGTATACAGGTATAGAAATCTAGAACCTCGAGAACAGCAACTGGGCATTTGAGTAGTAGGCCTCAATGGTATCTTACCATGGGGGGCCCTTGAGGACAGATAAAAAAAAGAGTACCCTTGCTCCCAGAGACAGTGGTAGATCTGTCGCTCCCTCTGTCTGTGGGAAAACCCAGGGCCCATCTTAATGCATGGGCATCCCTGGGCACTGCCCAGAGGCCCCAGGTGCATGGGGGCTCCATGATAGTCTTGCATGACACCATTCTTGCCAATGGGCAGTCATGCTATTAATAAGCTGTCCCGGGGTGACCATGTCTAGGGCAGCATCCCGGAATCTGGGATGGGGGGGCAGCTGCCAGCTAAATCTACAATTGGATTTACATCTTCCCCCGCGCTACATGTTTAAAACTGATTTTATTGAAAGTAGTAATAAATTATTATTATTATTACTAGTATTATTAAGGATTTATTATTATTATTATTATTATACAGGATTTATTATTATTATTATTATTATTATTATACAGGATTTATTATTATTATTATTATTATTATTATTCAGGATTTATTTTATTATTATTATTATTATTATACAGGATTTATTATTATTATTATTATTATTATTATACAGGATTTATATCGCCAACAGTTTGCTCAGCGCTTTACCAAATAAAGGGAGACAGTCAGCGGACTGACAACTCATGGGGCCCCCGGGCAATAGGGGATCATGGGGCCCCTGTGTCCTCACCCACACTCAAACCACACCCAAAAAAGCCTATGAAAGGTACAAGGGGCATCACCCCCTTACTGACCCCGAGCCCTAGGGCAGTGTCCGAGTACCCGATTGGTCAGTCCACCCCTGGAGACAATACAGCAACAATACAGTTCAATACAAGAGGGATAGGAGGGCCCTGATCCTGGGAGCTTACAATCTAAGAGGGAGGGGCTGGTGGTACAAAAGGTAATAACTGTGGGGGATGGACTGGTAGGAGGGGTACAAGATTCCATTATTAGCTGAGGGCAGGATAGGCTTCCCTGAAGAGAGAGGTTTTCAGAGATCGCCTAAAAGTGAGCAGAGTAGGCGATAATCAGATAGATTGGGGTAGAGAGCTCCAGAGGATGGGGGAGGCTCTGAAGAAGACCTGGAGACGAGCATGGGAGGAGGAAACAAGGGAGCTAGAGAACAGGAGGTCGTGGGAGGAGCGGAGAGCACGGTTTGAGTGACATTTGGAGACAAGATCGGTGATGTAATTCGGGGCAGAGTTATAAATGACTTTATATGTTACTGTTAATGATTGGGGTAGAGAGTTCCAGAGGATGGGGGAGGTGCTGGAGAAGTCCTGGAGAGGAGGAGACAAGGGAGCTAGAGAGCAGGAGGTTGCGGGAGGAGCGGAGAGGATGGTTTGGGGGATATTTGGAGACAAGATTGGTGATGTAATTTGGGGCGGCGTTATAAATGGCTTTATATGTGATTGTTAATGTTTTGAATTTCATTGAATTGAATTTCGTGGGCAATGGGAAGCCAGTGGAGGGATTGGCAGAGAGGGGGGTGGAGGACACTGAGTGGAGGTCAGTGGAGGGATTGGTAGAGAGGGGTGGAGGACACGGAATGGAGGCCAGTGGAGGGATTGGCAGAGAGCGGTGGAGAACACTGAGCGGAGGCCAGTGGAGGGATTGGCAGAGAGGGGTGGAGGACACTGGGCGGAGGCCAATGGAGGGATTGGCAGAGAGGGGTGGAGGACACTGGGCGGAGGCCAATGGAGGGATTGGCAGAGAGGGGTGGAGGACACTGGGCGGAGGCCAATGGAGGGATTGGCAGAGAGGGGTGGAGGACACTGAATGGAGGCCAGTGGAGGGATTGGCAGAGAAGGGTGGAGGACACTGAATGGAGACCAGTGGAGGGATTGGCAGAGAGGGGTGGAGGACATTGCCCTAAATTTTCCACTTTTTCAACATTGTGGAGGTGCCAGTGGTGGCTGAACAGATTGTCGTCCTTCCAGAGACCACAGGCAATGACATTCATTGTCCTTCCCAGCTCCATCCAAGAGACGGTCCTTACCTCGGGTATGAGGAACAAGCCCATAACGCTGGCGGTCACAAAAGAATAACCGCTGCTGTATGGACCCACCAAGGCGATGATGTTCGGTTTTGTAGTCGGTGAAGTTGTTCTGGATCTGGATATAGGGCTGAGAGCACCGGGAGAGCAATCTCAGAGTTCCATAGATGTTGGCCGTTTCTGTGCACGTGTCAAAGATTTCGTAGCCCAATGTAATATTGGGGAGCAATGCGGTGGAATTATTGATCTCCTCAATGGCCAACCTCATTGCATGAAGTATGTGAAACCAATATGGATTAAAGGGCGCCCTTGAGAAAAAAAAAAAAAACAATGTCAGTCGCCAACAGAATCAGCAAAAAAGAACAATTAGTAGAATCACAAAGGAGACACTTTATCAAACAAATCTCACTTACATGTAAGAAATTGTAAGCCCAACTAGACATGTGCAGAAAAAAAAAAAATTGTATCATTTCGGGTCGATTAACCCCTTGCCCACCGGGCACTTCTACCCCCTCCCTGCCTACCGGGCACTTCTACCCCCTTCCTGCCTACAGAGCACTTCTACCCCCTCCCTGCCTACCGGGCACTTCTACCCCCTCCCTGCCTACAGGACACTTCTACCCCCTTCCTGCCTACAGAGCACTTCTACCCCCTCCCTGCCTACCGGGCACTTCTACCCCCTCCCTGCCTACTGGGCACTTCTACCCCCTCCCTGCCCACCGGGCACTTCTACCCCCTTCCTGCCCACCAGACCCCCTCCCTGCCTACTTCTACCCCCTCCCTGCCTACCGAGGCACTTCTACCCCCTCCCTGCCCACCGGGCACTTCTACCCCCTCCCCCTGCCCACCGGGCACTTCTACCCCCTTCCTGCCCTACAGGGCACTTCTACCCCCTTCCTGCCTACTGGGCACTTCTACCCCCTTCCTGCCTACCGGGCACTTCTACCCCCTACTCCTGCCTACCGGGCACTTCTACCCCCTACCTGCCTACCGGGCACTTCTACCCCCTACCTGCCTACCGGGCACTTCTACCCCCTTCCTGCCTACCGGGCACTTCTACCCCCTTCCTGCCTACCGGGCACTTCTACCCCCTTCCTGCCTACCGGGCACTTCTACCCCCTTCCTGCCTACCGGGCACTTCTACCCCCTTCCTGCCTACCGGGCACTTCTACCCCCTTCCTGCCTACAGGGCACTTCTATCCCCTCCCTGCCTACCGGGCACTTCTACCCCCTTCCTGCCTACAGGGCACTTCTACCCCCTCCCTGCATACCGGGCACTTCTACCCCCTTCCTGCCCCCCAGGCCAATTTTCAGCTTTCAGCGCTATCACACAATTGCGCGGTCATGCAACACTGTACCCATATGAATTTTTACTATTTTTTTTTGAGACAGAGCGTTCTTTTGGTGGTATTTAATCACCTCTGTGGGGTTTTTATTTTTTGCTAAACAAACCAAAAGCAACTGAAAATTTTGAAAAAAAAAATGTTTTTTCTTAGTTTCTGTTATAAAATTTTGTACATAAGTGATTTTTCTCCTTCACTGATGTGCGCTAATGAGGCTGCAGTGATGGGCACTGATAGGTGGCACAGATGGGCACTGGTAGGTGGCACTGATGGGCATTGACAAGCATCACTGATGGGCACTGAAAGGCAGCAGTCCTATATGGCACTGACTGGCACTGATAGGTACATTGAAAGGCAGCTCAGATGGGCACTGATATGTGGCATTGATGGGCACTGACAGGTGGCACTGCTGGGGCTACTCTAATCATCAGGGCAGACTGATCATCAGTGCCCTGATGATCAGTGTAGATGTCCCCTCTGAGGGATGCAGATTACCGGCTCTCCTCTCCTCTGTCAGCGTGACAGCTCGTGAGGAGAGGAATGCCGATAACCAGCATTTCCCTATTTACATGCGATCAGCTGTGATTGGACACAGCTGATCACGACAAAACCGACATCTTCGGCTCTTTCTGTTGATCGGTGATCCACTGCGTCCGAGGGACACAGCTCACCACCGATCTCCGCGCTGCACGCTCCCGGAGCCACACACGCTTCTTTAAAGTAGGAGGACGTCATGTGACGTCCTCCCAGAACGAGAGAACCGCCTTGCGCACGTCATTTCCTTATATGGCGGGTGGGAGGCGGTTAAGTTACTAACTTCGTTTTGTTGTATTTGGAACAAAAATTCATTTAGTTTTGTTTCATTTATTCGTTTTTCGACCGGATTCAAATTTTTCCAATGGATTCGAAGTATTTGAATCAAATTCGAATTGAAGATATAGAATCGCCCTGAATTCATTCTGAAGAAAAGCTGATTCTATACTATTTGAAAATGGAATCTTTTTCTATTCTTTTCTATTTTTTTTTTTCTATTCTATTTTATCCTCTTCTTTTCTTTTTTCTTCTATTCTGTTCTGTTTTACTCTTTCCTATTCTAATTTATTCTAATCTATTTCTATTTTTTCTCTCTCAATTCTTTAATTTTCTATTCTTTTCCTTTTTTTAATTCTACTTTATTATATTTTTTTTTTTTATATTCTATTCTATTCTATTTTGTTGTCAGCCTATGTCTGGAACTGCCTGAAATAAAAACCTTGAAAGCTGCAGATTTAGAAAATTTAGAAAATGGGAAATAATAGGGTAAAGTTTGGGATTTTAGTGTTTAGGTTGACATATACTTAGTAGTCTTTTTTTTAAAATAAATTTGGTCATGCCGGATTCACACATTTTTCTAATTGGATTCAATTGGAGAAAATGTGTGAATTCTGGAAGAAAGCTGTGTGAATTTTGTGTGAAAACATTTATATTAAGAGGAAATTAACTCGTTGAAATTGAAACTCGTTGCTGCCCACCTATGCCCCTCCCACATTCTGACATCAATCCTCCTATCAGTTAGTGGCTTCTCTTTGGCCATAGACACTGCTGGTACCTTTAGCCTTGGTGTGTGATTTTGGTGTTTTGCTATAGAGGCACTGAGCAGGAGGGAGGGATCTAGAACAGCGGCGGGGGACCCGAGAAGAGGAGGGTCAGGGCTGCTTTGTGCAAAAAATGTGTGAATTCTGAAAGAAAGCTGTGTGAATTTTGTGTGTATATATATATTTTTTAAATATATTCTTCAAATTTTTTTTAACATATAAAACAGTCATTTTAACATATATGTTTACATATATTTGTAAATGCGTTCCAAAAATGTAGATTTGTATTTTTTTAAAGACATAAAGTATATTTGAAATGTATGTTTAAAAATAATATTCATATATTTTGTAATAAAAACGCATTTCAACACGCAGTATATATATATATATTTATTGAAATATATTTTGAAATACATTGAATATGGCCAAAATTGTAGCATTTCAAATATATGTCAATATATATATATGGGAAGAATATTTATCAAATATATTTAAAATATATTTTTCTTCCATATGGGGACAAAAAGCAATTTTAAAACAGGGAGCCCTGCAACTGTGAGCCAAACATTTTGCACTATTGATCTCAATAGGAGAGTTTGACACCCCAGATAAAAATGCAGATGAAATATATTTTAAAAATATTATTCTCAAATATATTGACATATATCTGAAATACTACAATTTTGGCCATATTCTATATATATATATATACAGTTGCAAGAAAAAGTATGTGAACCCCTTGGGATTACGTGGAGTTTTGCATGAATTGGGCATAAAATGTGCTCTGAACGTCATGTAAGTCACAACAATAGAAGAACACAGTCTGCTGAACATAATACTACACAAACATTAGATGTTGCCATGGTTTAATTGTACATAACATGTAAACATTCACAGTGCAGGGAGGAAAAAGTATGTGAACCTTTGGACTTAATAACTGGTTGACCCTCCTTTGGCAGCAATAACCTCAACCAAACGTTCCTGTAGTTGCAGATCAGACCTGCACAACGATCTGGAGTCATTTTGGACCACTCCTCTTCACAAAACTGTTTCAGTGTAGCAATATTCTTGGGATGTCTGGTGTGAATCGCTCTCTTAAGGTCATGCCACAGCATTTCAATCGGGTTGAGGTGAGGACTCTGACTGGGCCACTCCAGAAGGCGTATTCTGTGCTGTTGCAGCCATTGTTTTGTTGAATTACTTGTATGCTTTGGGTCATTGTCCTGTTGCATCACCCATCCTCTGCGGAGCTTCAGTTGGCGGACAGATGGTCGTACGTTTTCCTGCAAAATGTCTTGAAAAACTCTGGAATTCATTTTCCCATCAATGACAACAATCCGTCCAGGCCCTGGGGCAGTAAAGCAGCCCCAAACCATGATGCTCCCTCCGCCATGTTTCACAGTGGGGATGAGGTTTTGATGTTGGTGTGCTGGGCCTTTTTTTCTCCACACATAGTGTTGTGTGTTCTTCCCAAACAACTCCATCTTGGTTTCATCTGTCCACAGTATATTTTGCCAGTAGTGCTGTGGAACATCCAGGTGCTCTTTTGCAAACTTCAAACGTGCTGCAATATTCTTTTTGGACAGCAATGGCTTCCTCCGTGGTGTCCTCCCATGTACTCCATTCTTGTTTAATGTTTTCCTTATTGTAGATGTGTCAACAAAAATGTTAGCATGTGCCAGAGATTTCTGTAGGTCTTTAGCTGACACTCTGGGATTCTTCTTTACCTCGTGCAGCATTCTGCGCTGGGCTCTTGCAGTCATTTTTACAGGACGACCACGCCTAGGGAGAGTAGCAACAGTGCTAAACTTTCTCCATTTGTAGACAGTCTGTCTTACCGTGGACACATGAACATCAAGGCTTTTGGAGATACTTTTGTAACCCTTTCCAGCTTCATGCAAGTCAACAATTCTTGATCGTAGATCTTCTGAGAGCTCTTTTCTGCGAGGTATGGTTCACACCAGACAGTGCTTCTTGAAACCAGTAAACCCAAAACAGGTGTGTGTTTTTTAAGGGCAGGACAGCTGTCAGCAACACATCCAATGTTATTACACTGACAAAATGAGAGAAAACAAATCCAGACAATCACATTGGCTGATCTGGAAAGAATTGATTTGCAAATTATGGTGGAAAATAAGTATTTGGTCAATATGAAAAGTTCATGTCAATACTTTGTTATATATCCTTTGTTGGCAATGACAGAGGTCAAATGTTTCCTGTAAGTTTTCACAAGGTTGGCACACACTGTTGCTGGTATGTTGGCCCATCCTCCATGCAGATCTCCTCTAGATCAGTGATGTTTTGGGGCTGTCGCTGGGCAACACAGACTTTCAACTCCCTCCAAAGGTTTTCTATGGGGTTGAGATCTGGAGACTGGCTAGGCCACTCCAGGACCTTGAAATGCTTCT